TGTGGCATGACATGAATAGATGAATCGTGGGAATCAATGAATGAATGAATGGAGGAGGAGGAGGAATGCAGTCCAACAGCAAAAAGAGGAGATCAGAGAGGTCATTTATGACTCGCCATGGAAGTTCTTTTTTCTCTTTCTCCTCTGCCATGATAAATAGTGGAACGATTAGGACGATGGATAGTAGTGAGTCTGAGAATACATGGGATGGGAGGATCAGGCGGTCAAATGGCTATACAGTCAAAAACTTGTTAAAAGTTATGTAAAAATCTTAACTAAACCCAAGTTATTTGTAACCGATCAAATCACTTCCTCCTATTCAAGTTCCAATCTTAGAATGTTTGGTTCGACCAAGTCAGGATGTCAAATTAAGTTATCGAAATCGTGCGATAAGCGTGCAGTGGTCGATGCACACCTGATCGGACCCAGTTGGCATATTTTATTCGAGCTGGGGTCGAGTTGGATCGGTTGGGTCGAGCAGGTCCATGTAATGATAGTCGTAAGGCTTGACGAGCTTATTTGACACTCAGACTTAAAAATGAACCAACGCGAAATCAAACCAAAATGAATTTTTATTGTCAACTGTCACTTAGTTTCGATTAGTATTCTGTTACTATTTTCAATCTGACGATCATTTTGTTACCATTTTATCCATATATGTATCGTCGAGTGATCACATAAGCATTTAACCAGGAGGATAAGGAAGGAGAAAGAGAGGGATTAATATTGGTGGAGTAGTAATAAAGAGGAGAATGCTTTAAATCCATGGTTGCCCGTTTTGGTTGGGTTATTCATGTGTGTGCGTTGGTGGGTGTTGTGAGTTGTTTGTTAGGGTTTTGTTTCATGGAAGTGGAAGGCTTAATTAATGGGATTCTTTGGTTTGTCTTGTTTAACTCTTACGATCTGGTCTTAAAGTTCTCTGCATTAATGGATGGTGATGATGAAGAAGAAGGAGGAAGGGTTGCAAATGGGCTCAAATGCCTCGTGTGAAGTGTTTTGGTGAAAGTGAAGTATCACTTTTTGTGTAGGGTTTTTTGGGCAATACAATGCAATGCAATACGTACCCACTACTCCCCACATTTATGATTGTTTTGCTCTCTTAACTTTCTCATTGATTGCTGTCTTTAATAAATTCGAATATGGATGGGAAGAAAGAAGGAAGACCTAACAGACAAAATGGAGGAATATTAATTGACTGATCCATCCATTCTTTCTTTCTTCCTTCTTCCTCTTGGATCCCTAGCTAGCTACTCCTGCCCAGGAAAAGGAATGTCTAAGTCAGTAGTAGCTCTAGCTAGCTATACATACATATATACGATTATACCTGCTCACCAGCTCTACCTGCCTATTCAATGACTCTCATTCATAGGATCCATCCTTTTGCTATGTTAAGCACTCAATAAGGAATTATAAATCTAGGGTATCACATACGTTTAGTGAGAAAATAGTTTTTAGGTTTCGAATTAATTGAATTTTGAGACATGGTATTGTATTCTAACTCTTAATGAGTGAAGGATAGGTCCTAATTCTGTAAACCATATGTCATAAATCGTAAGATGGTGCATGTAGTTTAATTTATTGTGTGTATTTGTCGACCAATTATAACCCTTGACTATTGTTTCTAATTTAATTGATCTTAATGTACAAGATTTAGAGAATTAGGACCCAGATTTTAATCACTAAAGTTTAGGATATAGTACCATGTCTCAAAGTCCGACAATTCAATGTTCAAAACATCATTTTTTTTCTTATTTAGTGTATGTATTACCTCCATATTTACTATGGGTACCATAGAACTCTTCATATATTGAGAGAATAACCCAACCAGGAAAAAAATCAAATATTTATGAGAGAAGTCTGATCAGTATTTTCTTGAATGTGTGTAAGAGTCCAGAAGTATTGTGTTTTGGATTATCTATGGGGATTAATATTCCGGAGAGCGTTTCAGTGCCTTATTTACTTTTTCACCTCATATTTTTTTAACTAGCTTTTATCTGACCGTTGGTTGTATGAGTTTTATTTTATTTATAAATTTAGTCATATTTTTGAATGATTTGGGGTCTTGTAAATAGCTTATTCATGAGTTGAAAGTTATGCTTGTGCTACTTGTACGCGGGCGTTGAGTACTTGGCAACCTCCTCCTGTTGGTACCTATAAGATTAATTGTGATGCTATGGTGTCAACTTGGCCCGCTGAACGACTATGATCAGAATCCTTTCGGGGGTCCCGTTTCCCATTAGTGCGCTGGAGACGGTTCTTTCTGTATCTTCGGCTTCCTCTTCTTCTGTAGCTTTTTTTCGTCTTCTCCTCCTTTCGAGTCAAACAGATAAAACATGTGAATTGGTTCTCTTGGCTTGACAATCATTTACCGAAGGATCACCTTGATTTGTGGGTGATTGGCTTGGGTTGTATGGTATCACAGAAATAAGTTCGTGTTTGAAGAAAGCATCGGCATTGCGTGGTGTATGATGCTCGCCGAGCGGGAGAGAAAGTGAGAAAGAGTGCATAGTGCGCGAATAGACTAATAAAAGAATTCTTACTAATAATATGAAAGATTTAAGAGCCTCCAAATCTTATAAATAGAAGCTTCTTCCAGTCTATATTTTCAAAGAGAGAGGTAGAAGTCAGAAAGAAAGACTTGAAGTAACACAACACTCTTATGGATATCTTCGCCGAAAGACTTTCCCAAATCAATCACGAAATTCGAAATGTAGAAAACGAGAAGCTCCAAGACGAGTGTTTGGTCGGTCTTCGTTGGCACCCGAGATGCTAAGGATCAAAGACTTTTTGGATATGGAGCGGCTTGTCTTTTCTTAAAGAATCATGCCCTTCTGAATGGTTTTGTGATTGAATCACTCCCCAGGTCAGCACCCTCTTTCTCGAGGAACTATACTTTGACGTCGGATTAGCTACATCGGATTTACTACTACCCTATTGGAACTTCGATAGAATTCGCTTACTTTAAGAGGTGTACGCGGCAGTTCTGACTGAGGCTTCTCTGAGCTAGTGGCATCGAGATCGATTTGGTCACTGATCTGGTTGCCTGGAGTGGAGTTCCTTGTCGAATCTAATGATGATACATTGCGTTTATTGGGCTTTATACCCCAACCAAATATTCTAGGGCAAGAGAGCAAAATTACTTCTTTGCTATGATTGGCACATGCCTGACGAGTAGGTGTTGAAAGCGCTTCCAGCTAGCCACGACTTAGGTTGTAGTCAGTTCAAACACATAAACCCAGTCTACTTGCAGCCATGTTGATTAAAATGACTAAGTTTCATGACTTGACCAGTCACTCGCCTCGTATTAGAAGATCATCTCACCTTGTGGTCGACATTCCATTCCCCTTAGTCGTAGGTGCTCGTTCTATTTTGATTTGAAAGGGCCGGGTCTCCCCCGGAACTGAAACCAGTACTTGTCTGGCATGGCCATTTTACAAATTCCTTATAGAGATAGAGCTAGAAGCGCGGTGAAGCTAACACGCTTACTGAGTGGATGGAGGGAAGGGAAAAGATTCAAAGATGGCGGCCCGCGGAGGGACTAGTTCCGTGCCCGCGAGTGACTTTCTTGCTTGGCCAGCTGAAAATGATACTCCACGGAGTTCCGTTCTTTTCGGTGGGTAATTAGGAAGAATTTCCTTTTTCGGAGCAGGAGGGGACTCTGGATCAGAAATGGATTAGGCTTCATTGAACGAGCTTCCAATTTCCGATTGGGCTGCGTAACGTAAGAAGCAGCAGGGTTACCTGGTTTAGGAATAGTAGCACCATGAGTCTTAGTAGCAGAGAATCTCAGTAGGCAGGAGCTGATTTACTTGAACCGTCCTGTCAAGGCGGAAGCTGCGGGTTCGAGCCCCGTCAGTCCCGACCTAGGATCCGATGAATCGATCAATTCATCTTTCCATTTTTTGTGAAGAGGGGAGGGTTCTATTAGGAGATAATTCATAGGTATTCTGCTGGTGGTTACACCGGTTCATTAGGCTTAGGAGTCTCTCTCGAATAGGGTAACGGTTTAGGGTGAAGTCACGAGTTGAATAAAAGGTAGTTAACTCTCCTTCCTTCATTCCTGTTGTAGAGAAATGAGAAAAGAAAGAGGGAGGGGGAGGGGGAGCAGCATCATATTCTTTTCGCGAGAACTTCCATATAAGAAAAGTATTCGGAACAGGTAAAAAAGTCACTCTTGAATAAGAGGAAATTATATGATTCATTACCAGCAATGCGCGTTCGAATCGCGCGAGTGACTCCCCTAAGAAATTCTAGGCTAGAGAAAGGCTATTCCATATCAGCAGCTATGCTAAGCAGTTAATTCACCGATGGCTCTAAAAAGGGAAGAACCTAGAACACCTCTTTAGCTGGCAAATGCTGCTATCCTCTCTCCAAAATGGGGGGAAAGGGTGCTCTTCTATCTTTTGAAAAACTAGGTCTCCCCGTCTTCAATGGCATATGTAGTTCCCATAAAAAGAAATACTCCTCCCCGAGAACAGTTCTTTGCCTTAAATTCAAATAAGCTCTGCGTCGAACTTCATTCATTTTAATTGGTCCTGGGGGTTAACAGTCAAAATAGCAATAGGAGTCGCAGGAGAAGTATAGGAAGCTCATAGGAATACCATTGGTAAGAATGATGCCAAGCCAATCTTCCTACTTAAGCATGATAGTTATGCTCTACCTTTCTCCGCCTTTCCCGTCCTTGTCTGTCTTTTCAGAAATAGCAGCATTCCATTGCAGAATTATCCGGAGCTTAACCAGATGTCACGCAAGAACAAGAAGAAAGCGTCCGCACTTGTTCTGTGGCCTATAAAATATATGGCGGGGAAGAAAGAGTTTGAGGTTGCAAGAATAAGCTCTTTGATAGAATCCCAGAAAGAGAGAATAGCCAACCAAGAAAGATGGGCTCAGCCCGAACCCCCGACACCGTGGTTCGTAGCCACCACCTGACCAGTGATTCCCGCTTTCTGTCATTCTCTAAGCGCGTACTTCTTCACAGCAGTTCCCCGAGGGTAAGTAGGCTACTTGCAATTTGGATCTCTTAGTTGTTGAGAGGGTTGCCCAAAAGCAGTATATAAGGCATACCTAGTAAAACATACAAGTAAACCAGATATAAAGATGGCAACTAGGGTTGTTGTTTTCATTATTCTATAATTTCAAGACCCCAATGGATCTACGATAAGATCATTTATTTACAACGGAATGGTATACAAAGTCAACCAAGCTCAGTTAATACAAAATAGGATATATGGATACACAAAGCGTTGAAGGTAGTTCTAGATCACGCTCAGTCAATCGTCAATCTCCAGCCCAAAGCTGACCAGTACAACCATGTGTCACCCCGCGGACTTCTTCGTACCCTGCCTACTCGTCTTTCACTGGCTTATTTGTACCATGCTACAATCTATTCCCTTAGGCCCAAGGGCCCCTCAGCCAATCCTCACTCGCCAGCTCCGTCCTGCTCATTTGCCACTGGATATCCACATTTATCCCCGTCAGCTGATGTTCATTCCTCCCCCCATCTGTTAGTGTTTTCATTCCCCCGGGCATTATATTGATGCTTAACGTGAAGTATAGGTTATGCGTTATGTAGCAGAATCAGAGCGCATAACGATTGAAGGCATCTATTCCTACTCCTACTTATGATCAATTTGAAGCGTTTGGTCCATAGCACGAATACATAAGTCCTTTGGGAAAACAATCACTCGAATATTCGCTTAGCTCTACAGTCCTTGTGAGTGTGGAGAGCCACTGAATAATGAAGTTAGGACCCTTTCACAGCCTGAGAGTGAGCAGAGAAGGTTGGACTTGATTTTACCTTTTTTACTTTCATGTGGAAAACAGGGTGGGGCCCCTTTGGTCCGGTTCAATCAGTGTCTTCCGCGACGAGATACTTTTAAGTAAGGCCTCAGGGTACCTTTTCTCTGTCCTATGTCGAAGCTTTCAGGTCCTTAGATCGGGTCAAGCTTTCTTGTTCTCGTGTCACTATAGGTCCCAGGGATGGGACTTTCAGGCCAAGTGTAGATTCGTCGAAATCGAAAGCTAAAGGTAGTTTTTCGAGTAAAGAGATAACACTAGTAGCAACCGATATGGGAAATCCCTTAATAGTTTAGCCTCTCTTCATCCGTCGTCTTCTCTTGTGTCCACACCAACTACTTATGACTTTCTTTCTTCGTCCGAAAAGCGGCATTAGTTGGCAAATATGCCTTTCCCTTCATCATCCTTTCTCTCCCAGCTCCTAGCTATCAGAATAGGAATTGCTATTCGTGGAAGAAAACGAAAAAAGGACTCTCTCTTATGGATTTGTATGGCTTTGCCTGCCCCCTTTTTCTGGTCAAATCCGGCAAAAGCCTCTTTTTTCTTAGTCAAGCTATGTAGAATCCTACCCGTGTTTGGCTCGAAACACTGGGTTTCAACCCTGTATTTCCTTTTGAAGAGGGCCAAAGAAAGGTTTCCACCTGCTGCCAACAGTCTTTCTTCGAAATTATACTGAACGGGTCGATCCTCCCCTTTGTTTTACCAACTTATCTTATCTTAAACCTCGCCAAGAGCTCCCCGGCGACAATAGAGGAACCAACCCGCCAGCTGTGACGGGCGGCTTTTTTCTTTCACAATGAGACCTGGACGATTATCCCTACCCTCGACTGAATTTGTCCTAGTTACTCTTCGGGACGGAGAAGCTTCGCGAACGAGGAAAAGGATCCAATGACTTTGAAAGAATTGAACGAGGAGCCGTATGAGGTGAAAATCTCATGGTGCGAGTTTAGCGAAACTGGGCCTTGTAATGAAGGAAGAATTGGATGTGGAAGGTAGAATTGAGCCCATGTGTGGAAGAGCATTCCCATACCCTTTTTCTCGAGTCAACAGGTCATCCTCTGAGTTTTAACTAACCGAATAAACTTGTTGATGTGCTAGACAATTTTATTCAGGCATGCTTAGGACAACTAGCCCAATCCGAGAATTTGGAAAGTGTTCACCTTCGGGAGGCGTCAGATGCCCAGGGAGCCTGACTTACGATTTCCAGACAGAGAATGATTAGGGGGACTTTCGGCATCGCTTCAAAGCTACGTTGGTGGGTTTACTCGTAATTTGAAAGATATGGATTCTTTAAAGAAGAGGATGGCGAGCAATCATTTAAAACCATTGTTGAAGAACACATGTTCTGGTCTTGTTACTTTATGTTTCAGAGTCATTTGATCCCTTGATAAAGTCCTAACTACAAATATCTTAAGAGAAAACAAGAAATCGTTTGGATTCGACGCGAAACCCTTCGTAGGCGTTACTACGTTCTTCTGCTCTCATCTCCAAAATCGAAGGTCTGCTTGTTGATTGTGGTATTAGTGATAATTTTATCCGACCGTTGGTTGGATGAGTTTTGTTTTATTTTATCTTTTATGTTATATATTTAGTCATATTTTAAATGATTTGGGATCTTGTAAATAGCTTATTCATTAGTCGAAAGTCATGTTTGTGCTACTTGTTAATAATTAGTTTAAATATATACTATTGTCCATTACGTCATCATACCTTATTGTTATCTCTATAATTTTTCGCATTTTAGAATAAAATACTTTTTATTTTCATCATAAAATGCTTAAAAGTATTTCTTCATAAGACTGGGTATTCCTTTCTCATTGCTCGTCACCAATTTTCCAGATCAATTTTTTTTTTGTCTAGTGGTATTCTTTTCATTCTAGTGGTGATTTTGGGTGTAGTGGTAGTGTTTCGGTCTAGTGGTATTGTTAGTGACTATGGTACTCTTTTAGTGCAGTAGTAGTGTTATCGGTATAGTGGTAGTGATACTTTTTTTTTTTGTGGTAGTATATTTTTTAGTGTTAGTGTAGTGGTACTCTTTTTTGTCTAATGACATATTCAATGGTGATACTTTTTTTCAATAGATATTTTTTAAGGGTAATGCAATGATACTTTTTTGCTGTGTTGTCCAAAAGAGTATGCCCGAGGAATATGTTCGGAGGAATTTTGTCGTCGGAAGACAAAGAAATTGTTGGAAAAGAGAGAGTGGGATATATGGAAATGAGAAATGAGAGATTTTTTTTCCTTGGTAATAGAACGGAGCGAGACGGCGCTCCACCTGATTAGTTCGACACAAAACGAGGGGTCTGGATACCCATTACATCATAGAGCAGAAGGTGGTTCAACGTCGGGGATGGTACCGTGATCGTATGCTCACCCACGCTAAGAGAGTGCCCCAGCGAGGCTAGAAAATCTGCTGCCACGTTCCCCTCCCTGAAAACATGCTTGAGCTCCACCTGCCAGTCTCTACTCAACAGCTGCCGAATTTGGGAGATCAAGATGTGGTGCGGGTGCGTCCCGGTGGACTCCCGGATCAGTTCAAGAGCAGCTCTTGAATCAGTCTGTACTTCCACTTCTCTTGCGCCCTCATCCCAAGCCATCCTCAATCCAATCGCAATCCCCATCAGTTCCGATCTCGTGATAGAGCCTCCCCCAAGTTGGACGTGAAAGCTCGTACAAATCGCCCGTCATCCTTTCGAAGCACCCCTCCTGCTGCAGCGCTTCCCTGAGCATACACCACCGACCCATCACAGTTCAAGCAGAACCAATCTCTCGGAGGTGGCGTCCAGGCTATCAGTTCCCTTCTTCTCGAGTTTTTAATTGAAAGAATTAAATTAAAAAAAGTAATACAATTCATATGAGTTTTTAATTCACAAAAGTACAATTAATACAAAAAATTCTCAACACCCCAAATACATTTGGTTTAGAAATTGTTGCGAAAATGAAAACTCAAATGGTTGCAACCGCATCCCGTCCCAAAGGGTTGATGAATTTCACTTTGTTTTTACTTTTCAGGACAACTAGGGTGAATTTAGTCTAGGTATCATGATTTGTCCCTCAAAATTTTTATTAGCGACATTAATTACTTATCAAGGTTCTTACATTTTGTATTTGTTCCGATATTCTATATCTAGATAATAAATAAAAGCCGAATGATGAAAACTGTTGCTCCATTTCAAATTTCCTGCAACGAGAGTGATTATAGGAAGGACATTTTGGTCTTCACAATTGCTTATTTTCTTATTTATTTATTCATAAAAAAGGCATGCACTGGGATTTGAACCTTGGTCTCTTTGAAGGCAAGCAAGGATCATAACCAATCACACTAAGTATATTTGTTGTATCTATTTAAATTCAAACATACACGAACCTAAATTATGAAAATCATATGACTTTTTTAACGATTAGTTGGCCACTGAATCTCCCGTAAGTACTTATTTGGTGTTTTAATACTTTGATTATTTTAGTTGTAGTTTAATACTTAATTTAAATTTCTATCTATTTTATAAATATACAATAACCCTAAAATTGCAGCCCAAATATCACTGGTTCGAATATTGTATATCGAATTGCAATATTAAACATGTAGAAGCAATATCGACTTCTTAAATTAATATTATTTTTCAGAATTACTATGAAGAAATTATATCTTTGTGCAAACTATATGAGACTGGTTCTTTTAATGTTTTAGTCGGGATAACCGCTACATTTTAAACTTCTTCATAATCTGGCATGATTGGATCCAATGATCATTATACAAGATTGTGTTTAATAGGGTGGCTCATTTCACCACTTTTTGGCGTGTTAATGAATTTGTAGGACAATGACATGTCAACATCTACACTCATCACAATCTACACATCATATAAATGTGAAATGTGAAATGAGAAAAGAGGGATTCCATTTCAAATTTGATGCGTGCAGAGTAATTTTTTAGGGGTAAATTTAGAAGATGCCAGTGCGGTCGGTCTGTTGAGCACGAAAGTAAAAGTATGTTTTCATTTAAACGGGCCCAAACTGTTATTTGGCCCACTAATCGTAACGCCCTTATGGGTGTTTATTCTCTAAAATGCAGCTGTCTTTCAAAGTGCCCGTTGCAAATGGCAAGTCAGGATACAACGATGGTACCGGTACACGTTTATATCATTAGTAGGTAGCAGATTGTGTCCATTCTACTATATCATTTAGCTAAATACTTAGTTGTTCTTTTCAACTAAAAATTATGCTTAAATGCTGTGATTGGCCTCAGAAATGTATGTCTTTGCATTAACTGTTAATGATTGTGAGTTTTGGTTTAATGGTGAAAAGTCCATTTATTTAGAAGTCTAAA